GTTTCCTTCCTAGGTCCTCTGAGAGTTTCCCACTGTCCTCAGCTCACAGATGTATTCTGGGGTGGAAAAAGAGGTGAAATGGATAGTGGGGAATGAGGTACAGTTTCAAAGCCAACTATTTAAATTTTCATGTGGCTCTCTGTCAATAGAAATAAATAAAATTAGAACAAAAATTTCAATATTTGACTTTCCTAGTTTTATTTAGAGTTTATATTGGTACATAAAAGTCAATACCGTCACTTAGCCATATTAAAATGCTCCCTCACAAAATAAATATGAGGAGAGAGCAGGGAAATAATACAGTTACATATGAGTTTGTGAAAATTTTGTGAATCAGGAAGAATGTTTTTTGGCCCAGGCATTTAAGGAATTTGTGGGGCTGATTTCAGTTTCGGCTTCTGGTTCTTCCTTTCCCTGTCCGTTCCTCATTCCTCACGTCTCATGAAGTACATACAGTTCAGGTGTTCAGGCATCTAGGATACTAACTTACATTTGTATAATACTTTTTTCTTTATTGAGTGTGCTTTTAGACTTTGTACACTCAAGATTTATAATGACCCTCTGATACACATACTCTCTTGAAAGCTGGTAAATTTATCAGACTTTAACTGACACCAAAGCAAAAATGCAACCTATTACCAAAGAAAAGTTGAGCTAGAGAAGTGTGGTTATGTTTTTGAATATAATTTTATAGGAGTTGACATGTAGGAACTCTGGATTCATTTACTTTGCCTAATTTTAAAAAAGGAATAAAGTAGTTCCAATTCAAATATTTTGCTACCATAAAAACTAAACAAAGGGTTATAACTTCTGTTTGATTTTTATGACTCTGCTAGATTTCTTTTAAAAATCAAAGAAGTCTGTGAAGTACAGTGTGTTCTTTTGCTGACTTCTCAAAGGCAGCCACTCCTGAATTAATTAAAAACAGCAATGCATGAGGCATTGGATTAGTGTTGTGTGATTGATGACTCATTTACTGCATAGAGAATAGCTGTCATTAGCCTATCCATTTATTTCATTACAGATATGAATTTATATTATAATGTATTGATTTTTTTTCTTTTTTTGTGTGTAGTGTTAGGTATTAAACACAGGATCTCGTGCATTCTAGGCCAAGTTCTCTACTGCTAGCCACATTCCCAGCACCATGTGATACAGTGCTTTGCAAAAACTGTAGCAATAATAAATAATAGTAATGCAGGGTAACTTCAAAATACTCTGATGCCATTGACGAGATATAAGCATAATTTAAAATTTTTCAGTTAGATTTGGGTAAACAAGGCTACCCCCTGCAATTGCTATCAACTATTTGAATCTGAAAAGTTTCCTGAAAAATATATTGTTACGTTGGAATAAAAACATGATGGTGCATAATGGAAAAACTGTTTAAAATTGAAACTTATTTGGCAGTAGTACTGGAGCAGCTAACATTCTTTGTTTGTTTGTTTTTGGGGGGTTTTATTGGTACCAGGGATCAAACAAGGCAGGCAGTAGAGCCACTGAGCTAAATCCCCAGCCCCTTTCGTAGCTAGCTTTTAAGATTGGTGGAAAGGACACTCCTGTCCTGTCTCATCTTGGAGCCCCTACCACATGCAGAGGTGGTTGCCATCCTCATAGGGATGGGTTTGGAGAATGGCTGGTTCATATTGAACTCATGTATCCTGTGTGGGCTCAGGGTTCAGACCCTGGCAGGGGAGGGAAAGGATGAAGGGAGGAGGGGAAAGTTTGACTTTTTTAACCTAACCATTATACTGAGCAATGATTTTATATTTAAGGGAGTACTTGCCATTGTTGGTGTATAGTAATACTTTTTTTTGTTTTTTTGTTTTTTTTTTGGTACCGGGGATCAAACTCAGGACCTTGCGCTTGTGAGGCAGGTGGCAGAACCACTGAGCTAAATCCTCGGCTCTATACTAATAATTGTTAAACAAACGAGTACAAATGAAATTGACTGTTGAGTTTTGTTACCTGAGAAGACCTTTATGTTTATTTCAGTGACTTGCCAGCATTTGGGTTTTGCATTTTTCTCCTTTTTTTAAAATTCTTTTTTTACTACAAACCAGTGCACCACAGTTTATCCAAACAGCTCTCTTATTTGGATGTTTTCAGCCTTTGGCTATCACAAGCTATACAACAATGGATAAGCACACATGTCATCTTGACAGTGTATCTGTGGAATAAATCCTTAGAGATAAAATTTCATTAAAGGAGATGACATGGGCTTTCGTCATTTTGAAAGCTGTGGCCAAAACACTGCCCAGAGATGACTGATTATAACAACTTGTGGTTTTTAGTACATAATGTGTACATTCATCTTGGGGAATTGTATCTTCTTTATAATTGTCTTTAAATCTTAACAGTATTCCTGTTGGTACACTGAAGATATAAAATTTGTATTCTCTGAAGGTTTTAGTTTTGTTTTGTTTTTGGCACCAGATCTCTCTATGTAGTTCAGGCCAGCTTTGAATTCACTGTGTAGCCCAGGCTGGTCTTGAACTCATGATCCTCTAGCCTCAGCCTCTCAAGAACCAGGATTACTTAAGTTTCATTAGTTCAGTCTCCTGCCTTTAATTCTTGTTTGATTTTTTTTTTCCAGTGCTAGAGATTAAATCTTGGGCCTCATGTGTGCTAGGCAAGTGCTCTACCATTGAGCTACACCCTTGCCACCTGACTTTTGTTGTTGTTTTGCAGGGCCTCACAAATACTAAGCATGTTCTAACTGTAAATATTTAAATATCATAAGAAATTTAACTAGTCACAATGGTATATACCTGTAATCCTAGCTATGAGGGAGGCTGAGGCAGGAAGATTACCTGAGCTCAGGAGTTCAAGGCCAGGCTAGGCAACATAGTGAAACCCCTATCAGTTAATCAAGAAGCTATCTATTTATTTTATTTTTCAGTGCTAGAGAATCACACATCGGGCCTCAATGCATGTTAAGCTAATTCTATTAAAATTAGACCAAATTAGACCTCTGAAGCCTGCCAAAAGCTGTTTATAATCATACGTATTAGAGAATTCTTTGTTGACTTGGTTAACTTTTTTCTATTTTTTTTTTCCATTTAGTGCCAGAAATTTAAGCAGAGACTTAAAGTAGAACCAGTAGACTCTCACAGTAATACGTAGACGTACAGCCATGATCTTGGCCTTAGATGTCTATTGGAATGTCATACACAAAATGAGTCACATTGCAAGTGATCGTTTTCTTACTGTGGCCGCTGGCTGTCACTTCTAGCACAGTAGAACCATGTTGAGGGAATGCAAAAGTGAGCACCACTTCTTACCACGTTCTCCCTCCTATGGCCACTTTCCCTCTGCTCCTGTGTGGGTGTGGCAGAGACAACCAGCCAACTGGCCCAAGGCAGTCCAACAGGAAGGGGCAATCATTCCTCCCACTACCGGCAAGCTTAGCTCCACGGCAGTACCTGTGGCTTTAGCGCAGATCCCTGCAAAGGAATCCAGCTCTGGCAGTGACAACTGGGTAAAAGGACTACCTGCTGAGTGAAGGAAGTTGGGTGAATAAATGGGTGGGCTGCAGGGGTCACTTGCCAAGGGGTCAGGTGCAATAAGGAAACAACTCATTCGGTCAGCTGCTTTTGACAACTCTCAAACCTGCCTGCTGCATGAGGGGAAACCATCTCCTGTAGGAGTGAAGTCACTAGGGCAGGAGGCCATATTCTCACTACTGAGTTTCTCCAGGGGCCAGGGCTTCTGGGCACAAAACTCCTGGACCCATATTCCCTCACTTACCCCCACCCCTACTCTCTTTTACTCTCATTCCTTGTGTTTCTTCTTATGCTTCTTTTTCTTTGCTGCCTTGCTGTCTTTTGATGTGTGCCTTGCCCTTTTGCTCATGTCACTCTCAGAGTCTGAGGTATTAGAGTCAGATGATTTCCTGTCTCTGTGTTTCTTTTTCTTCTTTTCCTTCTTTTTCTGGACAAATTTCTTGTGGGATTAGCCTTCTCAAATTCTGCTGACTTTGCCTCTTCTTTCTCTTCTTCTCATCGAGTACCAGAGAATATTTGGTCCCACCTGGTTGCATGAAACAGTCTTTTGCAAAGTGGCCTTTACAGCCACACTTCTTGCAGATAGTGTTAAGGACGGCCTCAGGGGTGATCTTCTGCCCAGTGTAATCCTGGAAGGATTGCAGCCTCTTCTCTTCTTGTTCAATAATAACATTGTTGGGATCGAGGTCTTTCCAGGTCTTCTGGTTGACAACTTTCACGGAGAGTGATACTTTTCTCCTATCATAATACATCTCTCAGCCAACAAGCTTCACCCATGCTTTGTCTCTGACATCTACTATCTCAGGGGGCTTATCCACCCAACAAGATGCCATGTGAGTTGGATGGACCAGACCTTGCTTTCAACAGCCTGGGATTTTTGACAAAGGCTCCATTGTCTGTCACCATAGCAACCTCTCCTTGAAAAGTAGTGTAGAGATCAGGCAAGTTTTCCATGGTCTCAGGCCTTCCCGAATTCATCCTGATGTTCTATGGCTCCTCCATTTCTCTTCTGTTAAAGCTAATCTGGTGTCTAGGCGTTGGCTCTGACTCTCTTCTATGTATTGATTCATTACATTGAGACTGTAATGAACTTACAACTTTGAATATTATTCTTAAACTTTGTTTATTGTAATTAGTCTCTCAAGGCAATAAAAGATTCTTCATCACCAACTATTTAGTGGTGATCTTTTGATTTTTATTACCCATCTCTGTATGGTTTCTAAAGTTTACTGTTAAAACTATTCAAAATTTATTATTAAATATATGACAGAAATTTTATTATGTCTTCCCTCATATTGGTAGTATTGAAAGAATCAGGAAAAGAAAGTGAAGCAGACATCCAGAAAGCATTTGATGGGATTATGCTTTCTTAGTTCCAGAGGCTTTGCTTGTTTATAATTTGTAGATTTCCTCTTTGCTGACATGCAGTAATAGTCACTTTACTATCTCGCAATCTAAGAGAAAAAAAATGATTCCTTTTGTCTCCTACTGAAGGTGGGTGGAGGCAAAGTAAAGAAGCCTGGAAAACGTGGCCGGAAGCCAGCCAAAATTGACTTGAAAGCAAAACTTGAGAGGAGCCGGCAAAGTGCAAGAGAATGCCGAGCCAGAAAAAAGCTGAGATATCAGTATTTGGAAGAGTTGGTATCCAGTCGGGAAAGAGCCATATGTGCCCTGAGAGAGGAACTGGAAATGGTAAATTCTTTCAGCAAATGCAGGCAAAATCAACCTCCATTAAGCAAAGAAATGTACACTAAAACATAAAGATACCAGTTTTCAGCTATCCAGTTGGCAAACAATGGAAAGAATATTAATCTGTTAGCCAGGGTATTGGAAAATAGACATTTTCATATGGAGCAGAATGAACGTGACTGTTTTCACTGAGAGAAGTCTTAAGATAAAAGAAATGAAAAATAACCCAGATGGCGCAACAGTGGGAGGTGACTAAACAGTCACACTCTGTTCACATAATTGCACTTCTTTTCGTCAGTAAGAGCACAGCGAGCATACACACAGTATGTACTTACAGAAAGATGTTCACTATATATTGCTAAGCGAATAAACAGCAGAACAGTACTGTAACAGCACAGTATGATGCCATTTGCTTTAAATGAACTTATTTATTTTCCATGTTGTATTTACTTGTTCATTTAATTAATTTGTTAATTTGGGTAGTGGCTCTAGAAACAGAAAAACGAGTAGATAAAACCGAATTGAAACCCCATTATTATGGCCTCAGAAAGGAGGTGAGAGATAGGAGAATATAAAGAGATGGCATTGCCATGATCATTACAAATGATTTCAAAACCAGTTACCTCACATTTTTAGAAAGTAAGAAAATAAGGAGAGAGGACATGAAGAAGGATGTGGATAGTATATACACTAGATATCTAGATGTATGCTATACAGCTAATTTTTTTGTTCCTGGTACCAGGAATCAAACTCAGAACCTTGTGCTTACTAGACAAGCATAGCACCTCTTAGCAACATTCCTGGCCCTGAAGCAGATTTTTTATAGCCTATGATATAAATGATTTCATACCTTCTGCAGTATAAGGCACTGGGCAGACTCTGGTGTACTTTATCTTGTATTTTTTTCCAAGTCCATAGTACAGTATCTCTATCATATACCTAACAGTAGTATATATATATATATATCTCCTACCAGGTAAATGCTTAATGAATGTTTGTGAAAGAGAAAATGGAAATTACTAAAATTTCTTTATTTTGGAAGTAGAAATAATACAGTGACAGTTATAAAAATGAGATAAATCCTAATTAATGGGGCCTCTTTAACCTGAGCAGAACTCTACATCATGGAAAGATTCAGCAGCAGTTTTCTCCAGCCTTCTGAAAGCAGATCTCATGCGAGCCCTAGGTGATAAATAGGTCACACCACGGAGTGTGCAATTCTCAGAAGCTCACTGGACTCTAGTCACGTCTAGAATTTCTACCAGTGTTTCCTTAACATTTTTACTTACATATATTTTGTATATTTCAGTACAAGCAGTGGTGCATGGCAATGGACCAAGGAAAAATCCCTTCTGAAATTAAGGCCCTCCTTACTGGAGAAGAGCAGAACAAATCTCAGCAGAACTCAACCAGGCACGGCAAGCCCGGGAAGCCAGATGCTAACAGCAACTCCTGTGAGTACAGTCTGTGGGAGGCTATGCTTTAGAGATGTATCCAGGTAGGGCCTCTACCGACCATTTTCTTGGTGTGTCTTTAAATACAATTAGTTGTTGATGTTTGTGATACACTTATTAGCAAGTGAAATGGTATTAGATTTCAAATACTGAAATGCATTGTACATGAGTTCTGTAAAGAGCAACCGATAAATTTATGGAAATTTTAAAAGCAGGTAGTGGGAATGGCACTAATTGATCTACTTATTGTTAATAATAGTGCCTTTTATTTGAATTTTTATAGCTTATAAAGTACTTTCACTTACATTTATCTTTTCTTTTTTTTTTGGTACCAGGGATTGAACTCGGGTCCTTGCGCTTGCACGGCAGGCCACCGAACCGCTGACCTAAATCCCCGGCCCCTCATTTATCTTAAATATTGACTCCAATAGTTGTTTTAAAGAACTGTACTTTTTGGGCCGGGAGTGTAGCTCAGTGATAAAACATAATTTGTACGTATGAGGCCCTGGCTTCAATCCTCTGCATCAAAAGAAGAAAAGGTATAATTCTGATTTTTATTGTTGAGAAGTAGCAGAGGGGCTGGGTAAGATGCCCAGAGTCACACAGCTGCAGTGGTAGAGCTGGTCCTTACCAGTCCAGGCTCTCTCTAGTACAGCAGTCCATCGCTGTAAGTTGGTTATTTTGTGGTGTGTGAGTGTGTGTGTGTGTGTGTGTATGTTGTGTGATACAAGGGATCAATCCCAAGACTTAGCAAATGCTGTTGCACTAAGCCACATCCCCAGCCCAGGATTTTTTTTAATTGAGATGAAATTCGTATAATTTAAAATGAACCATTTAAAAAACATTTAAAAGTAAAAATTCAGAAGCATTTAGTATATTCACAACGTTGTACAACTAAACTCTTACCTCTGTCTAGTTATATTTAATCACCCCAAAAGAGAACCCTAAACCTATTAAGCAGATATTTCCTTTACCCACCTCTTTCCTAACCCCTGGCAACCATGAATCTGCTTTCTGTCTCTGGATTTACCTATTCTAGTTATTTCATATAAATGCAGTCGTGTTATGTGACTTTTCGTGTGTGGCTTTTATCTAGCACAGTGGTTTCAAGGCTCAGTCACATTACAGCATGTATCATTATATCCTTTCTCTTTATGGTCAAATATTCTTAGGTGCAGTTACCACAGCTGTTGATTCATTCGTCCATTGAAGGACATTTGTTTCTACCTTTTGACTGTTGTGAACACCACTACTCTGAACATGTGTGTTTTCAATTCTTTTGTGCATATATCTAGGAGTCAAATTGCTAAGCATATGGAAATTCTCTGTGGAACTTTTTGAAGAATTGCCAAACTGTTTTCCACTGTGACTGAAACATTTCGCTTTCCTACCAGCAGTGTATGACTGTTCCAATTTCTCCACATCTCATTGGCACTTGTTCTATTCTTTTTTTTTTTTTTTTTTCTAAGAGAGTCTCACTGTGTGGTCCATGCTGATCTGAGCTCTGGGCTCAAATGATTCTTCTACCTGATTCTCTTGGGCAGCTGAGACTCAGTGTGTTAACTGGGTTGTTTTCTGTTGTGTTGATTTTTAAGAATTCTTGACTTACTCTGGATATTAGACTTATTAGACACATGATTTGCAGAAGTTCCTTCCATTCTTTAAGGTGTCTTTCCATTTTCTTGTTAGAGTCCTTTAATACACAGAATATTTTAATTCTGATGAGGTCATTTATCTTTTTTTCCTTTGTTGCTTATGCTTTTGCTGTTATATCTAAGTCTCTACTGCCAAGTCCAAAGTTGTGAAGAGTTACCTCTACTTTTTTGTCTAAGAATTCTATGGCTTTATTTTTTGTTTAGATTGTTAATCCTCTTGGGGTATATCTTCTGTATAGTGTGAGGTCAGGATCCATGTGTTATACATGTGGATATCCAGTTGTCCCAGCACCATTTGTTGAAGAAACTAAAGATTTTAGAATGAAGATATCAGGTCTTTTCTTTAAGACTGTGATTACTCTGGAGCACTTGAAATAATTTGAAGGAAATGTCTGCTCTGGGAGTCCGTGTGTGTGTGTGTGTGTGTGTGTGTGTGCGTGCGCGCGCGCGTGTGTGTGTGTGTGTGTGTGTATGATGGGGATCAAACCCATCCACATGCTAGGCAAACACTACCACTGAGCTACATTCCCAGCCCCTTAATTCTTGTCTTTTAGAAATTTTATGTAACTGAAGTAATTAGCTTTTTTGATAACTTATTAGATGGGGTAACATTGGACCTTAATCTAAAAACAACCTTCCTATAGATACGAAACCACTCCCCTATTACATGCACTTAAAAACAGATTAACCAAATTTTGTTGACTTTCGAAACATTCTTACAGTGGTGAATATATTTTTTCAGGGTGAAGATCATATAGAATGATGGAACAGTGACTGAAGCCAATATTCTAATTTCCATGGAGGACGAATAGGCACTCTTATGCTTGGCACAATGTACCACCTACTTCAGTTTCTACCAAAATGAGTGATTATAGGTCACAAAAGATCTTGCTTTAACTTTCAGCACTTAGAAACTTTACATTCTGTATTACTATCCATGACATATAACATGTGGTGAGGCTTGAAAACACAGTAGTAGAGGAAAATGGGTAAAGATTGTATTTTTGCACCTTAATTCCACATCACTTTATTGGTTAATTTATATTCTTAACATGTAATTCCTATAATTGTATGTGTATATATGTTTAGGTGTCTCCTTACATGTTTTTGATTGCCCTACAAAAAGAAACCAAATAGGCTGATTACTGATTGTAAATTCTCAGCCTTTATGGACCTAATATTATTTCTTTGTACTTACTTGAGTAATGTTTATTTTCTGCATGAACCATGATTTCTCCTGTGAGCCATTCCAGCATAAGCTGTGAATCTGTATTAACAAATATGTACATTTCTATTTTTATAGTCCATAGTGAAATGCCTGTTTTAAATAATGTACATGTTACCAAAATTCATCAAGAAAACCCTCAAGACAGCCTCTGCTTAAAACTTTTGTTGCTGTCTTATTATTAAACTATATTTATAAAGTTTGCTAGGGCCAAATCCATACATGGAGAATAATTCGTCACATTTTGTTTTTAAGCAAGAAGTTACCTTTCAGGCATTTCGACAGCATACATAACATTGACAGCCTAGAATATGTGAGTACGTACATGTGTTTCTATTGTATATTTATAGATGTTTGTGGGGAGGACAGGAGTGAATGTTCACATGCATTGTCTTGTGTATTCTACTACATTGGAGAACTTTTCTGAAGAAAATAGGATGAAACTAGCTGCTGAGATTGAGTTTCTGCTTTGAGATCTAGAGCAAAACAAGAGGCAAAGCAATGGGCGAGTCTAGTGGCTTTAGCCATTAGCTGAATACTTGATGTCTTCCCTGACTCGGGTTTCCTTATGAATGTGTCCCCAGCCTGAAAGAAGCACACTGTGGCTGAGCATCTGGTTCAGCCCATGGCTCTCTGTGGAGCTCAGCACTGGCGCTGGAGTTGTACTCGCACTGCAGCCAGTAGGCTTCAGGGAGGTGCAGAAGGGCAAAGTTCTTTGCAGTTCTCATCGCAGTGGCATTTGCTGTCTACCTGACCACCAAGCAGACTGGTTGAGGAACGAAGCTCATCATATGATACACACACAGAGATAGAATGAGGAATATTTTTAATTCCCCAGTGAGACACTTTATCACCTTCTCTTCCCTTTCCCATAGTTAAAGCAGGAGTTGTGTTCCCTGTTGCTGCTAAATTATCATTGTTCTTCAGTCTAGTGCAGCAAATATTTGGCTTCCAAACAAGGTGTGTATTGTCGTAACCCAGCAGTGTAAGAGGAGATACTGCAGTACAGCTTGTCTATGAGGTGGAACACTAGACGGACCACATAGTTTAAGACCAGAAGGGACTTTTCCCCCTTCTCTCAGGCCATGCCTTTGAATTAGGTGCCTCCTGTAGCCTGAGTTCTGAAGACCTCTTGTACTTCGGTTGCAAACTCATCTTCAGGCTGGTTGAGTGTGACTACTGATATGCCACTAGCCCACCTTGTTGAATTTCTCTGAGTTTTGGAAGATTGGAAGTTTAAGGGTATTTAATTAATGTCTTCTTAGGACCATAATGTAGGTAAAGGACTGTTGCTATTCAGGCATTCAGAATTTAAATGTTTTAAATGTAGCTGTCCAGATTGTAATTGGGCATGTTTTTGCCCCCTAGTCTACTCAATTGTGTAATTTTATTTTACAAAACCACCCAAGACTGACTTTTGCTTTGATCCAGTACCTTTTGAGTTCCCCAGAAGTGTTCTTTTCAAAGCAAACATTCCAAAATGCATGTGGCTCTTCAATGGAATGTCTCCATTGTGCTTGAAGGATGTCTTCTCTGGTTATAATTCTAAATTACAGGTCGTTCGAGCTTCTTCCCCTCGCCCCTAGTATCCTTACAAGGGCAGTGACTTTGTCCTCTGGTAGAGGATGTGTAATTTTGGGTGAAAATAAGTTACAATTTATTTGAGTTTACTCCTGAACCTGTCTGGTATTTTGGAGTAGATCAGACCAAGAGAATGTTTGCTGGTCTTTATAAGGAATGTTTTGATTGCTTTGAATACTGTACTGACTGAACGCTTTGGCCACTCTGAGGCGTGTTAGTATCACTAAGACGACTGGCGCTTCCTTCCCCACCCAGTGAAGACACAGCACACTGCAGTCCCTTGCTTACCTGTGATGATAGCAAGGCTGAGAGAGGATGGGGTGGTGAGGGAACTTGGGCTCTCAGGAGAAGGAGCTGCCCTCTGAGTCATGTTTTCTTCTCCTTTTTTTCCCCAAAGAAAGAAAGGTAAAGGGGAAAAATATGTTTGTGTATTCAGATCATATTCTGTTACTGTTTTAGCATCCACTTCTCATGTTTTAGAGAAACTGAATGTAATAAATCTTACCAGGTCAAATTTTAGGATATAGTTGGAAGTTCTTAAATTGTTTTCTATTTTATCTAAAATCTTTCTGCTGTGTCTAAATCAGAACTATCTTACTGCAGCAAATTCATATCACTTTTGCCAGCTGACAGGACTTAGCACCATCATTTAGCATTTTATTTTAACATCACTTAATTATGATAAATCTGATTTGGTTAATTACAAAAAGTACAGGTTTAAACTGGATTTATCTTTAGTAAAAGACAAAACTTAAAAAATGTAAATGCTGTATTTCACAAGAAATCAGTTGCATATTATTATATATTTGCTTTTTTAAAGGAGGATTATTAAACCACATGGTATTTGGGGGCATTGAAAGAATTTTTCTTTCTCTGAAGAGCATTGTACAATTATATTTTTATGAAAAATAAAATGTTCACCAGAGGCATCTCAAATTGTCTGTTTTGCAATACTGAAATATATATGTGTAAGCCTACTCTAGTGAAAAAGTAGGTAGGATATAGACAGAAAAATTGGTTCTGGGTCCATTTTCTGAGTCATCTTAAATTATCCTAATCCTCAGCCTGTTTCTTCATCTGTAAAAAAGGGGGGAAATATCTTTCATAGAGTAATTGGTAAGCTACATAGGAGTTAGGAGAAACTGCTTGTTAAATGGTACCAAACTACATTAAATTTAAATATTCACATTATGCTTCACTATAGTGAGGGTTTAAGCCATTAGAGATAAATATATTTATTTAATGAATGGGGGTCTGTAGTATTGCAGGTATCATATTTCCCAAGGTTTTTAAGCTGTATTGTATCTGTCCTTGGGATTGTATAGTTGGAGGCTCTTTTTAGCAGTAATGGCCTTCCATTAATTAGGCTAATTTTAAGAACAACTAATGTTACTGGCAATGTTATCCTGTAATCATCCACATAAAGTAGATTTTCAGGCTATGTAAGTTGGGTTTTTTCCTTTATTTCATCCATTTTACTGAACTACAGAATGACTATGAATCAGAGCAAGGACTGCCATGTAAGGCTCTGCTGGTTGTGCACTGCAGAAAGGCAGCCAGTTAAGGAGGTAAAGGGGTCTGAACTCGTATCTGGTATACATTCCCCTCAGCAAGTCATGTGCAGAGGAAGAGGTCTGTGCCACTGCTCATCAGTATGAGTGTGGTGCAGGTCTGCCCAGAAGAGGTGACTTTTTGTAATTTGCCCAAAGAGGGTACCATGCTTAATTCTTCCATCTACCCAGGAGGTACCTTTTTAAAAAAGAGTAGGAACAGGGCCCAGGATTTAGCTTAGTGGTTCTGTTGCCTGCCTTGCATGTGTAAGGTCCTGAGTTCAATCCCCAGTACCAAAACAATCAAAAAGGAAAATAAAAGAGTAGGAACAGTTTATTGGGCAATAAGAATAGCTTCTGAGAGACAGGAGGGGTCGGTTGCCACTGAAGCCTTTTGTTGGGTAGTTCACAGAATAAAGTCACAGTGTGAGTACAACGTGGGTCAAACTACCCTCAGCCTTTAGGATTACAAGTACAGCTGCTTCGCTAATACGGCGTCAGGAGGGAAGTGGGGCACGTAGCAAGGGCATATGGCTGGCATTACTAGGAACCTTGGGGGCATCTTTTTGAAAAAATGTACAAAACAATGGTGTGTTGTGGCTGGTTTTTGCTGGTTTCTAAAAGGAGAGCTGGTTACATATATCTCCTCCCAGTTCCACACTCAGCAGTGGTAGGTTGGTAGCTTTAGTCAGCGACAGCATAGCAGTGCTTACACTGTAGAGATCAATAAATGCTATAAGTACGGGTCCCACCCACCAGAGTCAGTTTCCAACACACCTTTTTCAGTTTAGGCTAGCAGATGGCCCTGACCAGCACCAGCACACTAGGGGGGCCAAAAGTATGACTGAGGGCCGGGATTTAGCTCAGTGGCACTGTGCCTGCCTTGTAAGCACAAGGTCCTGAATTTGATCCCTGGTACCAAAAAACCAAAAACCAAAAAGTTTTTGGTTTTTTGGAGAGCTGGAGGAACTCATAAGGGTATAAGCAGCTTGCCAGTGCCCATAGCAAATTCAGATTATTTCACAAGACAGTTGTGATCACAAACTGTTAAGGGTCACAGAGAAATACCTAGTCCCACTCTAGAGAGGACGAGGAGGTAAATGAACTGTTGGGCATGGAACTGAGCAGGGGGACACAACAGCTCCTTGCCCTAAGCAAAGGGCCAGAAACCCCCAGAGCCAGATAGGCCAAAGGCCATCCCAAGTCCACACTGAGTTGTAGCCCTTAACAGTTCAATGGAATGAAGACCATACCTGTCAGTGCCACAGGAAAAGAAGGTACAAGGTTAGTAACACCCCTTACACCTGCCCCTTTCCAGGCCAGAACGACCTCCAATGAGTCCCCTCTGTCACATAGGAAGAACAGTGTCAAGTCAGGAGGAAAGAAAGCCAGAAGAAAGACAAGGCTTCTTCCAGAAGGAAGATGTTCATGTAGGAGTCAAGCAGAAGATGGATGTGAACAAATCCACCTTTCTTGTTAGAGTAGCCTCACCTTTCTACCTGTCCAGGCCATAAAGGAGAAGTCTGCGTGCCCATGAGTTTGCAAGCAGGCAGAGTAAGAACTCTACCTAGGAATAGGCAGGAAAATGCTTTGAAGCTGGGTTATAGTAAATCACTCCTCTTCCCAGAGTGGGCTAACGTGGAGCACCCCAGGCATGGTGGGGTGAAGGGGCCTTGAATACTGATCAGAAGCACACAGATTGTAGGAAACAAACCACAGCGTCTTGGAGCTCAGGGGATGGTGACCCAGACTGTAGATGGGTACCTAGCTAGATGTACATGAAGCACAAAACAAGGGGCTCATCACAAGAGTCCTGTAAACTATTACACCTCTAGTGGAGGGAAGGTTTTACAAATCATTGAGCCCATCATTATGTGCCTGGGGGAGGGGGTGACACAAACAGTTCAGATCCACTCTACTTGTTATCAGTGTGAGAATGGATTATTATCCCCACAAGACTAATATATACAATGGCATTTTGAGTAAGCATGGCCTTTCGGGAACATTTTTTTTCAGTTAACAAAACAAGATGTAACCAGCTTGTGAGTGGTAGGTGTTTAATTGGCTCTTTTAGGGAATACATGATTGGTAGTATTTGCTGATTTCTGGGAATATTGCCACTGTGGTTGATTTGAAGCTACTTGTCAACCAGCTCCAAGAATTTTTGAAAATTTACCAATTGGCTGTTGTGAGCATGTATGAGCATCTCTTTCCCAACAGTGGATAAACTATATGGTCTGAGGATGAGGTATCCGTCGGAGGCTCGGCAGCAACGAGAATACCCGACTAAAATCGACACAAACAATCCAGGCGCACATGGCAAATCGAAAGTGGCTCAGCGTCATGGTTAAGGACCCTGGATCTTTGCTTCCTTCTGCTCTTCCGTCCTCAGCAGACAGGCTTTCACCCTCCATGGTTGTGGGGTGACTGCCACAGCTGCAGGCATCATTCTCTCACAACCATGGTCCAAGAAGAAGGTTTGCATTGCGTTGCCTGCTTCAGTTTATCAGAGAAAAACCTGCCCTAAACCCCCTCAACGGATTTATTTTTACATCTCATTGTAAAATAGATAGCCATCTCTATATCTACCCCTATCTCTAATACAGTCACTGGCAAGAGAGAGTAGAATTACATTACTGATTTGGACAAAACAAAATCCCCTAAACCTGTGGTGCTGAAACTCGGGCAAGCATGCTGCAACCAGCTATTCTCACTGAAAGCTCTAAAGCGTTCACCATCAGTGTCCTAAATTTACTTTCCCTACCCTCGCTGTCATTTCACACCTGAACAGAATCAGTGTTCTATTAGCATGGAAGGAGAAGGAACGGCCGTTAAGAAGCTATGGTTTAAATACGAAGTGTTCCCTGCAGATGCATGCATTGAGGGCTTGGTCCCCCATGCAGCAGTGTTCAGAGGTGATGGCTCATGAGGACATCAGATCCCTGATGAGAGCGTGATTTGATAGCAGAACTCGGAGGTGAAGGAAACAGGAGTGGGGCCTATGTGAAGAAACTAATGTGGTTCCTGACCCCTTTCCTCTTCGGATCTTTCACCTTCCGCTTCCTGGCAGCCATGAGGTCAGCAGCTTTTCCTCTGCCACACGCACCTGCCATGATTCTGCCTTTCTACAAGACTAAAAGCAATGGAGCCAGCAGACCATGGGCTGAAAGCCCTGAACTGTGAGCCAACATTATCTTTCATCTTTTAAGTTGTTGATGGCAGGCATTTTGTCACAGTGATGGAAGGCTGACTAACAGGTATCAGCCATCAATGTCTACCACAACAAATGAATGCAGTGTAGTGAGATGTCTATGGAATAAAACAAGAGATCTGCAGGCTGGGAATTTAGCTCAGTGGTTCCAGTGCCTGCTTTGCAAGTGCAAGAACCTGAGTTCAATCCCCAGTACCAAAAAAACAACAACAAAACAAGAGATCTTCAATAAAACATGACTGACCTTTGGGAGAACCCCCTAAATTCCAATCTAGGTGAATTTGGTAGAATCTAAAGAAAGCGAACCTGGATGTAATTTAATTTATTAAGCACACACCAGTCATGTCCTCCTTTGGAGAGCAGCTGACTAGAGGATAGTCAGAGCTTATACATTGGAAGCTCAAAGACTCACAGGTGGCAGAATTTATTCAGCATTCTTCACAAATACAATATGAACATGGTGTACTGAAGTCTAGTAGTCAGAGAATATATGAAAGTATTGCATAGGGATAGTTTATTAGGTCCTTCCATGGCCTGATGAAATATATTTTTGAATACTTCCGTATTATAGAGGCTGATTTTAAAGTGTTTTGCTTCTGTTTTTATTTTTGTTTTTGAGACAGGATCTCACTATGTAGTTCAGGCTGGCCTTGAACTCACTATGCGTTCCAGGCTAGCCTTGAACTCATGGCGATCCTTCTGCCCCAGTCTTCTGTGTGCTGTGATTACAGGTGTGCACCACCCTGCCTGGCTTCTAAAGTTTATACGAAAATATAAGTAATAGTCAATTTTTTTTTTTTTTTTTAGACAGGGTCTCACTATGTAGTTGAGGCTGACCTGGAATTCACTGTGTATCCCAGGCTGGTCTCGAACTCACAGTGATTCTCCTGCCTTGGCCTCCCAAGTGCTTGGATTATAGGTGTGTGCCACCACACCCGGCTCAGATTCTTTTTATTTTCTGGTACCAAGAATTGAATCAAGAGGTGCTCTACCATTGAGCTACTTCCCTAGTTCCCACTCCCCCCACCCTTCTTTTGGTATTGGGGATTGAACTTGGGTCCTTGTGCCAAGTGGTGGGACCTCTGAGCTAAATCCCTGGCCCCTCCCACTCCCTGTTTTGAAGGAAGCTCTCACTAAATT